TAACAGACAGTAGCATTAGTGCCACTGGTACTTTCACTTGATACTGCTCTTTTTGTCACAGAAATCATGAACTTTCGTACTTACCATCACGATTGGCATGCTCGCACGTTTGCCAGACGGTGTTATTTATGTTTGTGTCTTATAATTGTTTTGTGCAGGTGCTAAATATAGACTACGATGCAAACTGGTATAAGGCCGAGCTTGACGGGAGAGAAGGGTTTATTCCAAAAAATTACATCACAATGAGACCTCACGAGTAAGTTTTCTTTACAGTGCATACTCTACTTCCGGATTAGTCTTGTTCGAGTTACTCGTCAGTAATGTGCATGTTTACTGCGCTGGCTGACTGTCATGCGTATTACTGTTATCACGATGGTACTGTTTATGAAGCCATGTATTATTTTAAAGAATTCAACTAATAGTAACACTAAATATTGAAATTGTTATTGTTTGTCAAATGTTGTTACATGTACTTCTAAGCAAAGAAACAAATAATCCCATCAATCATACCGAAAAGGCAAGTTATTTTCACGGAGAAATTCCGCCAAAGACATTAATAAACAATTACTATTGGTTGGAAGGAGTAGTACCTCCATTGCCATTGGTTCGAAGGGTGTATAAAAATGCAAGTTTTTCATATTACCATCATTGGTCTTTTGGCCTTCTGCGACTCGGGTACTCCTAGTAGCAAAGATGCTCATTTATTTTACCAGGCATACTTTTAGATTTGTTATTCAAACTCTGAAATGATTAGTACTTGAGTAAGTGTGAACAGCAGTGATTAACGCAAGCTAGCTCCTCCCCTTCTTTGAACACTCAACCACCCATTCCCGCAGCCATCTCCCCCACACCTAAATGGTATAGTCCGACACACAAGTTATTGGCAACTCAATTGACCACGTCCAATGATTTGAAATTATAAAACTTTTCCTCTCTATTCTGTTATTTCAGTATCTGGTACATACTATTATTTATAAATATTGAGATTTCATAAATATTCCAAGTTGTCATTTATTGCTTGTGTCCTGAAAATTCTGAATGTATACATATTGTGGAAATACTGGTAGTAGACTGTTTTTTTCTTGCTTCTTCCTCCTAGCATCATAATTTGCGATATGAATATAATACACATTTTTTACACAAATAATTAGAATTATTTTTCATCAACACAGACATTTGCCATCATATGATCTAGCATCGGCATGTTGAGTGAGAATTTAATTCACACAACAGTTTCTTTGATGGAGCTTTCTAGAAAGTACACACATCCACCAAAAAGTAAATCAAGTTACGCCCAATATGACCATTCACAAAAACTTAAAGTACAGTAACTTTATTTCAAAAAATCAATATAATGCAAGTTCATTGTTGAATGAACTTGTCAAAATTACACAACCAAATGTTGAAATCCGGTACAATGTGTTGAGATCATTCATTGGGATCACCAGAGTCATACTTGGCGAAATGACAGTGAACGGAATTTCTGACATACAGCCTAGGAAGTTAACTTTTTGGCAAGGAGCAAAATGCTCTTAAGCACTAAAAAATTAGGAGCAAAATGCTCCTAAACCTAAAATTTTAGGAGCAAAATTGTTTCATGCGTAGAACAAATAAAATGTGTTATGCAAATCTTTGCGAATACAACTACAATCATGACATACTGTAATGAGAGATACTGTTCTGTTACAAACAGTCTTGATTTTTATCCTGGTCGAACACTGCATGTACGATGTTATCAGGCCACTCCAGTTTCACATTTGATAGTCTTGCCCGCACCGATTCCTGCATCCATCTGGGAACAGAACCTGAAGGATCAAATTCGGCCATGCTAGGGCCTTCCAGGCTGATAAGTATTAGATCACCCACATCTTCCGTTTTGTGGCTGAATGTGAGGATGTAGGATCTGATGTCCCGGAGTTTGTTGTTGGGATTTTGTTATGCCCAACCGGCTGAATGAAATTAGTAATCTGCTTATTCGCCATGTCTTGTTCGAGCCGAAAATGCCACAGTGTGACTTTGATTATTGATGTTTCCAACACGGCTTAATTGACACTGAAAAACGCCATCATGTTAGCCAATGAGAATTATTTAATTGACAATCAAAAAGCTGCCGACAGTGTAAAACCGGCATTCATTTAAAAAAAAACTGTATTTTGACTAGAACAAAACAACTGCCAATAACATATTTACAATGTTACTATTTCTTTATTATGACTTTCCGAGTACTTTGTAAATTATTCAAAGCCTAAATATCGTGCACGGTATCTCGTCTAGTCTGACTCGTGCAAGGCACGTTTCAGCTGCGTGTAGGGCTTCAATTTTTACTCGCAAAATACGACAGTTTCTGAAATCTACAAGCTAAATGCGGATACTTACAAGTTTGTACTCACATAGACATATATTTTAGGTGCATTTGCGAGTAGCTACTCGCAACTTCCTAGGCTGACATAATTTATGTCAAGTTTTGCAACCGTTTTTTGACGCACACAATTGGAGTCTTGGCAGTTTAGTGCATCTGTATGTTTGTTTGTATGTGTGCATGTTTTTTTCACTGATATCTAAAGAACCACTTATTAGGTTTTGATGAAACTTAGTACATAAATGCTCTGGCTAATGTTCAAATTGGATTAGTCTTTGGTTGAAATTCGTGCATATTAGTTACCTAATTTGCATGATATCTTGCCAATTTTTAGCTGTTATATGACTTTCACTGGTATCAAAAGAACCACATAATGGATTTTGATGAAACTTTGTACGTAGATGATCTTGGACAATGCGCAGACCTGTTTAATTTTGGGTAAAAATCTATGCATATAAGTTACATAATTTGCATAATAATTAGTCAATTGTCAATATCTCAAGTACTAATCATCACATTTCAATGAAACTTGATACATAGATGTCATAGGACAAAGCACAGACCTGATATGTTTGGGGTTAATATCGGCTTTTCCGCTTATATTTCAAGTACTAATCATTACATTTCAATCAAACTTGGTACATACCGGTATATTCGCTTGATATTGATTTCTGTGTTTTGTTTTCCATAAAATTGTTGGAGTATGAATTTAAATCTGTTTTTTGAACCAAACAAATTAATAAGATACATTTAAGAATCGGTATTCGATTCAAGATGGTTGACAGCAAAAATTCACCAAATCTACAATTTGCAGATTTGTTGAAAAAACATTAATAGCATGTAATGTGTTGCAGAAACAAAATATTGACATATTCAAAACACATAATACGGTACTCGTCAGGCATAGCACCCAGGGTACTCCATTGTTCTCCCAGACTCCATGTCAAGCATCACAGCTAATTACCATAACAATCGAATTCGCATAATTATCAGTTTCCCAAACAAGCATTGTGATACTGTGTTGTTGTTATAAAAATTAGTTGAACTATCTATAATTAATTAATTAAAGAAGAGATAGTCTGATATATTTATATCGTTTTACTCCATTGTATGTTATGTACATATATGTAAGTAACTGGTTCATCATTATTTTGTGTACAACAAGTACAGTCAGTTTTAGTGCCCATGTTTCTGTCAGTTCATATGACATCGGGAAAACATATTTTGGTAAAATTTGTAAAGTCTGCGAGATCTCAAAATATGAAGAAATTAATAAATAAATAATAACAACATTTTTTTTAACAACGGCATTTCAAAACTAAAGGCAGCAATTTTTCATTGATCTATCTATACCTTATGCGTAACGCTACGATCACCGTAACATTGTCAGCTGAGAGGATGAATAGAGTTAATAAAATGTAAACTTTTAAATTCTCACTGCTAGAAATGTCACCATTTCGGACTGCATAGTATATAATAATCTATGACAAAACACAAGGGGGAAATTTTTTTAAAAAAATTGTCGTCTGATTGAAAAATTATCTAAAATACTAGTATACAACCTCACACTTGCAAAGACAACACCCCATTTATTCATTCATTGTGAGAATGTGCCCTTTGACATTTCAATGTACATGTCATCAGGAAGTGATGGAATTATTGATTGCTTGCAAAAAGCCCTGGTCTGAAGGGAAACTGTAACGAAGAGTTGGATTTATTTATCTTTGATTCCTCGTTTTTCACCTTCATATTTCTGATCAGTGAAACCTTATGTTACTGGTACTTGTTATACCAATAATTGGATCAAGACGCACAAAGTTTTATAAAATTGATTTATTTCTACTCAAAAATCTTTATATGTTTATTTATGGGTGGAAGCTAAGATATTTCCTGTGTGTCGAGGTACACGACTTGTGCTATGACATGTACGTGTAGTGTATAATGTTGGGAATAATGTTGCTGCACCAAACTACTAAAAAATTTCAAACAAACGAATAAAACAACCTATGCATTCGTGATCATGATCATGCTTTTCTAACTTTGTTTTATAACCTTGCTTGCTGTTGTATTGTATCGAATAAAGTGGTTATCTTGAAACTTGTATCAAGCCTTGTCGTATGCTTCAAGGATCCTGTTAAAGTATAACTTATGCATTGGTCATTGCTTTTTTAAATACATGTCCATGAGTACAGGCTTGGAACAGTTTGATTAATGCTGTTACATTTATACCTTAATGTGGAGGTGATCTGTTGCACTTACCATATTATCTCCAATAGAAGTGCACACAATCCAAAAATTGCATATACATGTACCACTTATATACGTGTTTAACATAAATTATTAAGTATTTGTACGGTCAAAAGTAATATTTTGATTTTTCAGTACTGGTAAATTTACAACAAATATGATTTTTGGTTTGGGGTTTTTTAGTTATGTTGGAGATGCAAAATATGCGGTATACTGAATTATTAAAATATGACTTAAAATACACTTAGTACTGTTTTAATAAAAATTGCAATTCATTCTTTTTAATCAGATACTTTATACATGCAGTGAATATTACAAGCCTGCATAATAGAATCTCTATAATAATACTATGACCATTGAGATAAAAGACTGTCGTTTACCTCCATGCTATGACCTACTTTGTTTTCATAAATAAATTATTGATGAAGATTATTCCTAATGCATGTTTATTATATTCTGCTGTAAAAACATTTTCTCGTTACTGGGTAATCTAACATCACTATAGGCATTCATGCATTCCTGTAGATGCTCTTATACTATGGTACCAGTAATATCAATATACTTGTGTATTGTTCACTCCCATAGCAGCATGTAGCTCCTGTCCCACACTTCAGCATTTTTACTATTGGTAATTTGCATTTTTGTAGTCCCTGTTGAGGATTTTGTACTTGCATGTGGTGAGCGTTATTTGGCTAGGTCAGTCTAGGGACCATGACGAAGGCCAACTGTAGTCATCCTGTTCAAAGGTGACTGTAACTTTGTTAATGCTGTTAAAACAGTAGACTAAACTACATTGCAAACATTCTTTATCAGTGGCTTTATTGGCTAGTGACTGACTGCTGTTCACATACCATGAGAAACGTTACATTTTATATTGTAATAATTGTCAAATTAAAGTACATAGATGTAGATTCCTTGCAGCCCTGTATATCTACATGTATGCCCCAAAGTTGGAAGATTTTAGCATGGTTGAATTATTTATTAATATTGTTTCTTGTAGTAGTAATGATTCTTTCATTCTCAGCATTTTTGCAAAATATATTTACATTGTACTATACTTTATTTACATTATACCATGTTATAGTTATGAAAGTTTTGTTATGCTGGAAGTTGTTTTGTTTTCTTACTCTGTCATATCATATCTTATATCATATCATAAATCATATATCATATCATACCATTCATATATCATATCATATATCATATCATATCATCTCTTGTACTCTACTGATTCATACACACTCCATTTATTGCCCACAAAATGGTTTAGAAGCCAGCATTTTATCAAAGCCAAACTATTCCATTTCCTCCCACCAATTTATGGGAGATTATATCTTGTGCATTGATACACTTGTGGCCAGATGTGGTCCGAAGTTTGGCTTGTTTCGCTTCAGCTGAGCTAGAATACATGTTTACATGGTTGAGCTATGTCTGCTCATACATGTACCTATTGCCGTCAACTACAAAAGTTTATTGAAGATGTACTTGACTCGAGCTGAACACATTTACATGGTCATTTTTCCTGGCTTGAGACTGCTTGAGCTATTGGGCTCCAATAAAATACTGTCATGTAAACAAGGTAATAGCATCATTCCTTTTTCTGATGTGTTCCTGCTCACATATGGTAGTAAGAGCAAGTATTTTCTTCAAAGTTAAATCTTGCCCAGGCCATTATAGTTTTACCTGCTCACACTCAAATTCGGCAGTGAGTACAATTTATCTTACAAACTATATAACCATATTTAATTTTCTTACAGTTGGTTTCATGGTAAAATTAGCAGAGCAAAAGCAGAAGAACTACTACAACTACAACCACATGATGGTGCTTTTTTAATTCGAGAAAGTGAGAGTGCACCAGGGGACTTTTCACTGTCTGTTAAGTAAGTAAATGATTATGCTACTTTTCATTCCGTAACCCATTGTTCTGGCCATACATTTATTTCTGTAAATTCACTTTGTATTTCATTTTCAAAATAGCCCTGATGTACTGTAAAGAGGTTAATTATTCACTGGGTTTTAATATTATATAGCTTATTTTTCTGACTGGAAAATGCGCTAAATTAAAACCCAGTGAATATGTAAAATTAGCATAGAACACATTATCTAAATGTTTATCCGTGAATTTAAAACCCACTGAATATGCCTGAAATGGTAAATCAGCGAAATTTAAACCCAGTGAAAATTAGTCATTTTACAGTACTACCGTACTCGACCGCGTTAGTGCCCATGCCCGAGCAAGCGCCCACCCCCCACTTTTGCGCAATTTTTATATTTGGGGTCACATTCGGAAAAGCGCCCATCCCTTCAAAATGCAACTAATTTAAAACTTGGTCTTGCGTAACGAATCATGGTAATTGTTTTTATATGATACTGCGTGGATATCGATCACTGTGAACATGTGAATTCGTAGAACACTGTAACCGTGCGTAAACTACGCTTCGACAATGACCTGTTAATACAAGCCATATTCAGTTTACCTCTCAAAAATGGCTAGTTACTAGTTTTTTGGAAAAACCATGTTGTTTATTCGCTGAAATCAATTCCAACAGATCGTACTTCGACATCAATAATTCACTTTCGCATTGCGTTACCGGAAAGTCTTCGGGAATTTCCGAAGAATTGCGTCAGTACAACACAGCATTCTGATTAGTTAATAACCAACTTGACCCATTAGGTCAAAGGACGCTGCTGTAGGTCAAATCTGCAATTGCATCATGGCGGAAAGTGATTTTCATCGAGAGTTTGCGTACGATCCAACAACTTCGTCAGTGGAAATAATGACAATTTTGACTTCGACTGTGTTTCAACAGACTCAAATGTTTTTAATTCCGTAAATTATGGTGGTACGTAATTAATATTGTAATAAAATGTGCGTATTTTTTGTGATCATTTCTGTTTCTTCATTGTGAAAATCAATGACGACGCAACTAATTTATTAATTTGATTTTCCCTCAAAGACGTAATCTGTCACTTGATGAATCAAAATTTTCATTTGCACTTTTTTTGAGGGGGTGCTCGGGTAAGCGCGACCACCCCTACAAAATCGTGATTTTCTGGGTTGAGGCCCCTGGGCGCTAACGCGGTCGAGTACGGTATATCAACAGTGCTTTATTGTTGACGGCATTGTTGAAGTTGACTTTAAAGACTTTTCTTTATTTTGGCCCAGACTTAAATGCATCACATTTTCAAATATTTCAATTTACATTAACTGAACTCTCTGAAAGTGACATCCTCTAGGTTGTGTTTTGTCTTTTCCAAGAAGAAGAGAATATAGAGAATAGAAAAAGGATTTAGTCCTTTTACAATTTTTATTCATGAAACATTTTTTTGGATAAATAACTACTAGGAAATTGTGTTACCAAAGGAGTGAATGGAACAGCCCTTATGCATGGGGTTACAAATTTGTTATTACCGTATTTATCCGGGGTATAAGCCCAGGGTCCTGAACATGGAAAATTGCCAAAAAGAAGGGGTGGGCGTTTGCCAGGAGATCCCCGGCAAAAAAAACGAAAATTCGCAAAAATTGACAACAAGCAGATCGAACTGCGGCAGGGAATAGAACGGCAAATCACAGTCCCTCTATCACAGGGACAGTGGGCAAATGAAAACATGCAACGAAAATAAATGAACAATATGCAACACTAGAAGTAAAACAAAAATAATGTACTGCTTATAATGTGACAAATAAACCCTAAATAATAAAAATCGACAGTGAGAAATCATTTGAATTAGGATTTTCCCGCCGACAAACACGCCCAATACGCGTGAACTCAAAATGAATTAAAATGTCAGGGGTCGAACTGCGTAAAATGATTTCCGGTCTCGACAAATTACGAATCAACCGTCATACAACATCAATAATAATTTACAAATTTACACAGTAAAAATTATAAAAATTCATAGCTGTTTGAAAAAACTTCTCAGATCTTTATTTGTACGTTCATTGCCATCTTCGTCAAACTCAAAACCCTCAAATGTCCAAGTCGGCGTCACTGTAGTCGTCGAACAAAATTCCTACAACTTATTCCTGAAGTTCGTCAATATTGTCCCACACAATTTGGACTAAGCACTTTTAATCCACGGATTTCGCAGTCTGTCAGCTTGGCACTTTTTAGCTCCGCTGTCGACTTTGTCGAGCGGAGCTTATCATATGAGTGATTGTCCGTCGTCCGTGTCAATGTTTTACTTTTTAGCTCTGCTGTCGACTTTGTCGAGCGGAGCTTATCATATGAGTGATTGTCCGTCGTCGTCGTCCTCCGTCATCGTCCGTGTCAATGTTTTACTTTTTCGACTTCTTCTTGAAAACTACAAGCCTGAATGCTTTGATACTTGGTGTATATGTACCTTGGGTAGACCTCTCTCAGATTTGTT